ATATGTGTATGCATATATATATTTGTGTGTGTGTGTGTGTGTGTGTGTGTGTGTGTGTGTGTGTGTGTGTGTGATGATATACACATGTACCACAGAACGTGCACGGAGCTCAGAGGACAACTGAGTGTTGGTTCTCACTTTCTGCCTCCTTCGAGACAGGGTCTTTCTTTTTTGCAGCAGGACCGTGTACTCCAGACTAGCTGGCTGGAGAGTTTCCAGCATTATCCTATCTGCCCCCTACCTCAGTGTAGGAGTGCTAAGGCTACACACTACAAGTGTGGGTATGGGCTCCTCAAGAGAGAACCCACCTAAATATCTTAACAGTAGCCACATGTATGATTTTAGTGATTTCAGAAGTTGTACTCTTTTCTTTCTTTTTTCCTTTCCTTCTCTTTCTTTCTTTCTTCTTTTCTTTTTTCCTTCCTTCCCTCCCTCCTTCCTTCCTTTCTTTTTTCTGAGACAGAGTTTCATGTAGTCCATGAAAATTCAAGCCAACCTTGAATCCCTGAGGCTGATCTTCAACCTCTGCCTCCCGAGTGCTGGGATCACAGGCATGCACTACCTTGCCCAGCCAAGGGGTGCTGGGGCTGGAATCCAGAACTCCATGAATGCCAGGTAAGCATTGTACCTACTAAACTATACCCCAGCCTGCCTGTTGAAAGGGTTTCTTTTCTTTTTATTATTATTATTAGTATTATTATATTATTATTATTAGTTGTTGTTAGTTTGTTTTTGAGACAGGTGTAGCCCTGGCTGTCCTAGAACTCTACTTGTAGGCCAGGCTAGTCTCAGACTCAGGGATCCACCGGCCTCTGCCTCCTGAGCATTGGGATTAAAGGTGTGCACCATCATGGCCTGCTAATTATTTATTTTATTTCACTTTATTTGAGATAGATAGCTCAGGCTTGCCTGGAACTCACTCTGTAGGCCAGGCAGAGATCCTCCTGCCTCTGCCTCCTGAGTGCTGGGATTAAAAGTGTGTGCCACCACGGCTAGACTTCTCTTTCTCCCTCCCTCCCTCCGTCCCTCCCTCCCTCTCTCCTTCCCTCCCTCCCTCCCTCTCTTCCTTCCTTCCTTTCTTTCTTTCCAATAGAGATCCTAGGTTTTTTCAGAGTTGTGCCGAACAGAAACACAGGCTGATAAACTCAAAGCATAGGACATAAGAACTGAAGAAATGCTTCCCATACTAGTTTCAGGGGAGTGAAGATAATATGTTTTGACTGTAAACAAGTTCATAACTTCATTTGTAAAAGTCTTGGAAAGCTACTGGCTTTTAACTGGGAAAGGAGTGAGGTTAACTCAAATATCATATTTTGACATAAGCATGATTCATTGCTATTTAAGATACTTACTTGAAATATCTCTACACAAAAAGAATGTTGTTTCTCCGGGCGATCCTCATAGCAAATTCTGTCAACGGTGATGAATTCCTGACTCTCAGAGGACAAGAGTCACAGGCCCCTTTTCCTCCCATGTTCCCTTCGTTTTTGGTCTGGCTGGAGGCCCTGTCTGCTTCCTCTGAGACTTCCCAGCCTATGCCTTCTGGCGCTGGCTGTCACTCCTAAGAGGGAGCTCTGGCACAGGACGGGAGCCAGATGCTCTGGCTGGAAGCTGGAGCTGTTGGGAGAGCTGGGGCATTCAGGAGTGGCTAGAGGCTGGAGGAGGCAGGACCCCAAGGATCAGCGCCAACCCTACCTTGACTTTCCAGACACAGCCTAGGCTCCAGAGCATAGGGCACAGCTCTGTGGTATGGTAAGGCACTGTAAGCACAGGGAGCCAGGCTGTTCTGAGTCAGAACTGGCCGTGTTCTCACACGGAGAGCACCATGAGGATGCAGTCAGAGCAAGGAATCAACCCACCTTCCATTCCAGCAGAAGGTGGTCTAGGCTATGGGGAACAGGCTGCGATTTCATGAGGTTGGAAGCTCTGCAGTCACCAGACTAGATGATGAGTGGTACAGAGGTCACATGAAGGGCTTTTGTCTTCCAGATTGACAGAAACGTGGGATCTCTCTGGAGTGTTCATTCCAAGCACCACAAAAGACAACAGGGATAAGTCAGAGGGGGCGGGGTGATGACAGAGAGACACAAACATTGTGTGTGTGTGTGTGTGTGTGTTTGTGTGTGTGTGTGTGTGTGTGTGTGTGACCTGTGTGTGACTGGAGGTACACAAGTGTCATAACGTGTATGTGGAGATCAGAAGACAATTTTCAGGAGTTGGTTCTCCCCTTCCTCTGTGGGTTCTGGGGATGGAACTCAGGTCCTCAGGCTTGTGCAGCAACAGCTTATACCTGCTGAGCCGTCCCAGAAGTTTTCTTTTAATGTGTGTGCACATTTGTATGTATACATGTTTGTGCATGCAAGTATTCACAAGCATCCACGTGGAGGGTAGAGGTCAAGTCCTGGTAACTTGCTCAAGGTCTCTCACCTTGTTTCTGGAGTAAGGTGTATAATTACTTGTCTCACTAATGCAATAACATCCTCGATAAGATCGATGTGGTGGAGTTTGTTTTGGCTCCCAGTTCTGGAGATACCGTCTGCCATGCCGGGGGAGGTTCGGTGGCAGGAACAGAAGTGGTTGGTCACGCTGCATCCGCAGCCAGGAAGTGATGGGCAATGAGTGCTGGTGCTCTCGCTCTCTCTCTGTTTCATGTGGTCCAGCAGTTATGGTGGATTACCCCATCTGTTGGAAATTACATCTGGGATCCAAGGTCGCCATCGATACTACACACATGGGCAAAGTGAAAGTACTACTGCTAGACCGGGCCTGCGCAGCTTTGATCCAGGAGCGAGCACACTGAACAGGAAATGTGCTAGACTTTTGTCCTTGAGGGCACTGTGTCTTTTCCCCACTGGCTGGGGTCTGAACTCACAGCGTTTGAAGGTTGGCTAATTTTAAAAAATTGGTGCTAAGAAAATGAAGGAACTGGGGGAAAGAGTCCCCTGTCCTGGCCCGTCAAGTTTTGAGAATGCCACAAGACTTCAGTGTAAACAGTTTTACGAGGAGGGGGAGGTTACAGGGTCACATTGTGAAGGGTCTATTTCCCTAATCAGTTCTTTGATAGAAAAGACTTCCAACTATTTCCCTCACGACCTCAATGTACCCAACCTAGAAAATCCCGAGTCTCGGCCCGGAGACCATCAACACCTTGTCAAGCTGACAATATTAGCTAGCTACCACAACCTAAGCTCATTTAGACTAGCTAGCCAGCAACTCCTAGGCATCCTCCTGTCTCTGCCTTCTGGGCACTGGGATTACAGATGTATGTTACTGTGTCCAACTTTTTTTAAAAAAATTAATTTGTTTATTTATTCTGTGTTTTTCACATCATGTATCTTGATCCCATTCATTCCCTATCCCTTCACATCTGCTCTCCACCCCACCCATTCCCCCTGAATAAAAAAAAAAATTCAAGAGAAAAAAGGGAAGAAAATAAAATAATAAAAAAAATTTAAAAAGGAGGGGAAGGAATTAAAAATCTCATCACAGAAGCTGCAGTGTGACCCAACAAGTCATGCCGTATACCCCTTTGTCCAGACATCTCTACTTGCCAGTGTTCATTGCAGAGTCACTGGTGCGGTTCGAGGCTCCTGGTCACCACTACACGTTCAGTGTTGGGCCCCACTTTTTTTACGTGGGCTCTCGAGATACAACTTGAGTCTTCTTCTTGTACAGTAAGTACTTTAGTGACTGAATCATCTCCCCCGACCAGAGAGTTCTTAAGATTAAATTATGTGCCAGGTCCTAAGTCAAATGTTGTGTATACAACAGTAAACAAACAGAAGACTAAAACCTGAGCCATCCAAGGTCCACTTCTGGCAGGGCAACATGAGGACCTCTGTAGATCTGCTTCCCACTTAAACTGGGGGGAGCCAATGCAAACAAAAACCCATTTAAAGTCTTAGGGAATTGTCGTCATCATGAGCAGAAAATGAAGAGCCATCCGCAAAGACCCCTCAACTTATGATGGCGTTCCAACCAGATAAACTCATGCTAAGTTTAAAATGTCTTAAGTGAGAAAAGCATTAAATCCACCCCAAAACTGCCTTAAATGTGCTCAGAACACTTACACTGGTGGACAGTTGGGCAGAACCGTCTAACTCATACCATTTTGTAATGAAGTGTTGACTGTTTGCGGGTTTCTCATGAAACACTAACAACAGAGCGCACTGTGTGTGGGCGATCTCACCTTGACCGTGGGCTGACTGGAGCAGCTCAGAGAGGGTTGTGGGCAGCAGGTCTCTAGCCCAGGAGGAATCCAAAGCCCAAACTCCAAGCGTGGTTTCTACTGGACAAATGTCCTTCTTACATACTGGAAAGTTGAAAAACCCATGAAAACCATTCTAAGTCCAGGACTGTATGCATTCAAGAGGCTGGGGATGTGCTCAATGATAAGACATTGCCTAGTATGTATGAAATGTGGACAGGAGGGGAGGGGGAGGAGGGGGAGGAGGAGGAAGGGGAGGAGGAGGAGGAGGAACCAAGTATGGACCTCACACATTCTTCCTTCAGAGAAGCAAAGTTAATCTGACTCATCTGCAGAGTAGTTTATGACTCAGAGAATTCTAGAAATGGCAGTTAGAGGGGGCTTAACAGCTGTGTGTAGTCAGGGAAAGAGACAGAGGTAACCTTGCCAAAATCACCTTTATCCTGGGCCACTGTGGGTCTACCCAAAGCTGTGCCTGCTGAGGAACAAATAATCCACTTACTAAATAAATAAACCAGAAAATAATAATAACAAGCCCCGGAGAAGGTGACAAGTCCCTAGAATTAGTGCTCCTAACAAAATAGCTATGAGACACTCAAAACAAAGCAACGGGCAATCATGACCCAAACACAGACATCGGAAACTGTCGGTGACGTAGACCAAATGCTGCCTTGCTCAGGAATAGGGCTTCAAGGAGCCACCATCCCGTGCGTGCATGTTGCCAGAACTGGAGGGTTCTCTAGCAGAGCATAAGTAAGTCAAGGGACATGTGAAGATGGCATCACGTCACACGGAGAACATCAGTGAGATGGAAGGACTTGTGTCAAAGAGACAAGTGGAAATGTGGAGAGGAAAAGGACAAACGAAATAAAAACTTGAACGGCTGGTAAGTAGATTTGATCAAGCAGAAGGGAGAGAGGGGGGAGTTTAAGCAGAGGCTGGTGAGCCAGGAACGGTGGTGCATGCAGAGTCCTCTGACGGCTGAGAGAGAGAGAGAGAGAGAGAGAGAGAGAGAGAGAGAGAGAGAGAGAGAGAGGCCTTTGCTTACAAGGGAGCCTGAAAGACTCATGAACCTGAGAGCTGGGTGGCGGTGGTGGCGGCGGCAGCAGCACACGCCTTTACTCCCAGCACTAGGTAGGCAGAGGCAGGAGGATCTCGGTGAGTTCAAGGACAGCCAGGGCTGTTACACATAGAAAAACCTGTCTCAAACAACAACAACAACAAGAAAATAGATTCACACCTGACTCTAGAGCACAAACCGTGGAGGACAGCAGGCAGAAAGACAGCATGTTTTGCTCGGTGGGGCAGGGAACAGCTGAGAACCCTGCATCCAGCACAGCACAGCTGCCCCTCAACAAAGAAGAGGAAGTAAAGACTTGCCCAGATAAACAATGACAACAACAACTGAGAATCTGTTGCTAGTAGAGCTGCTCTGTGGGAATAGCGGAGAAGTGCTTCAGGACAGAAGCAAGTGACCCCGGACAGCAATTCTAAGTCAGGTAAACAGATGGTGATAGAGATAGAGAGACATAAAACTAAAAGGCACCGGTAAAGGTAATTGTAAAAGATGGTAGATGTGGCTTGAATGAGAATGGCCCTCATAGGCTCATCTATTTGAATGCTTGGTCCCCAGTTGGTGGAACTGTTTGGGAAGGATTAGAAGGTGTGGCCTTCTTGGAGGAGGTGTGTCACTGGGGACGGGATTTGAGGTTTCAGAAGACTACAGCCATTTTCAGTCTGTCTCTTGTTCTCTGCTTCCAACTTGTGGATTAAAATGTAAACTCTCAGAGTTGGGGATTTAGCTCAGTGGTAGAGCGCTTGCCTAGCAAGTGCAAGGCCCTGGGTTCGGTCCTCAGCTCTGGGGAGGGGAGTGGGGGAAGTAAGCTCTCAGCTGTTCCTACTGCCATGCCTTTGCTCTGCCATCATGGACTCTGACCCTCTGAAACCATAAACCCAAGTTAAATGCTTCCTTTTATAAGGTGATGGTGTTTTATCACAACAATAGAACAGTAACCAAGGCAGAAGTATATATTTTTCTCCTGTCCTCTACTGATGTATACAGTGAGTGAAACATTTGTTATATCACATATATTCACACACACGTGGTTGGGCCTTAAACATATGGAAGCCTAATATATTTGTCAATAACAGCACAAAGCGGGTAGGTGGGAGATCCAGAGCTAAGGCAATAAGGACTAATGGTAGGGTGACAACTTAACACTGTATTGCTGAGGTTGTGGCATTAGTAGAAACAACAATACACACAAAAAGGGAAAGGAAATATTATTAAGTATTAATATTTTTAGGTATCACTGGTTGTAAAGAAACAAATCAGAAAGCCTATTCTGGTAAGTTAAGATGTTAGAGCCTTTCTTCTTAGCCGGGTGGTGGCGGCGCACGCCTTTAATCCCAGCACTCGGGAGGCAGAGCCAGGCAGATCTCTGTGAGTTCGAGGCCAGCCTGGGCTACCAAGTGAGTTCCAGGAAAGGCGCAAAGCTACACAGAGAAACCCTGTCTCGAAAACACCAAAAAAAAAAAAAAAAAAAAAAAAAAAAAAGATGTAGAAGCAAGTAGAGCATGGTGGTACACGCCTCTAATCCCCGCACTCAGAAGACAGGGAGGGGAATCTCTGTGAGTTCGAGGCCAGCCTTATACATAGTGAGTTCCAGGACAGCCAGGCCTACACAGAGAGACCCTGTCTCAAATATGTGTGTGTGTACATATACATATGTGTGTACATATATATATATATATACATGTGTGTACATATATATATGTGTGTGTGTACATATACATATATACATATGTGTGTGTGTACATATACATATATACATATGTGTGTGTGTGTGTACATATACATATATACATGTGTGTGTGTGTAGAAGCAGAGGCCAGTGAGACAGCTCGGCAAATGAAGGTGCTTTGCTGCCAAACCTCACAACCTGTTCGATCCCTGAGACCCACATGGTGAAAGGTGAGAAGCAACTTGTTCTCTGACTTCCATATGCCTGCGAGCGTGCGTGCGTGCGTGCGTGCGTGTGTGCGTGTGTGTGTGTGTGTGTGTGTGTGTGTGTGTTAAAATCTTATATTGTTTACATTAGTCAAAAGGAAGCCATAAAGAACAGGAGGGAGACAACACATGGGCCATCTTGAAACGGAGTGAAGTTATAGACATAAATCAGCTACATCAACGATACCATTAAACGATGTTTGTGCTATTGTTTGGCTTGGGTCTCACGCTGCAGTCCAGGCTGCTGGAACTCAAGATCCCTCTGCCTCAGTCTTCAGAGGGCTGTATAGCACCACACCCCGTCACATAACATTAAATATTAATGAACTAAGTATCGAATTCAACCCAAAAGATACAACCAAACATCTAGCCACACACAGGAAAGACTTTGACAGTATCAACAGGTGGGATTTCTCCCAGGAATGAAAGGTTGGTTCATCATGGGAAAATTAATTAATTTAACACACCATATCAGCACAATAAAAAGGGAAGGCTGGCTAGGTCACAGAGACAATGTAAACGAGGGCAGCCTGTGCTCTCTGAGAGAGGTTTTTAAAAAGATGAAAAGGGACAGACGGTAGGAGGGTTCACAGGTGAAGAGGGCTGCCGCCGAGCCTGGTGGCCAGAGGCTCCCCCTGGGACCTACAGGTGGAAGGAACCAGCACCTGCAAGTTGTCCTCTGACCTCCATGGGCACATGGTGGCAGGTGTGCGTGTATACACATAAAATAAGTAAGTAAATAAATAAATGTGATAAAGTTTTTAAAAAGCAAAATAATAATTTCTCTAATCATAAGAGAAAAGGCATTTAGCAAAATCCAACTTTTTTTTTTCATGATTGAAAACATTCAAAGAACCAGAAGTAGAAATGAATTCCCTCAATATGATAACAGACATTTACAGAAAGCCTACAGCTAGCATCATGTGTTGTAAAAGATGGGGTATTTTTCTCCAAGTCCAGGAACAGTCTCTTCTCACCACTTCAGCTCTACATTGTGCTGGAGAGTCTAGCCATGGCAATGAAGCATGAGAAATAAGTAATTTCATGCATTAACATTTAAAAAAAAAAGAAGTAACATTATCTCTAGTCATCAATGCTATTCCCATACATCTAGAAAATCCTGAGGAATTCTGCAAAGATATGGGGACTAATGAGTACATTCAGCGAGGTCACAGGCTGCAAGATCAACATAGAGAAGTCAATTTTATTTTTATACACCTGCCTGAACAGGAAGTTAGAGCTAGACTATTCAGCTTTGTGTTTGTTGGTTTTTTGCTTTTGTTTTTTGAGACAGGGCTTCTCTGTGTAACAACCCTAGCTACCCTGGAACTCACTTTGTTGACCAGGCTGGCCTCGAACTTTCAGAGATCCACCTGCCTCTGCCTCCCGAGTGCTGGAATTAAAGGCCTGTGCCACCATGTCTGGCTAAGAGCATTCTATTTGTAATGGCAAGAATAAAAAAAAAATATTTATGAATACATCTAGTATATACAACATAAAAATTATACTCTAAAACTACAAAAGGTGCTAAAATTCAAGAAGGTTGAGTAACTCAGCAAATGTCCCAGCTCACAGACAAGAAGACTTGAGGTGAACACTCCGCAGGAAGACATGCTCCGCAGATCATCTCCGGCTTTGAGGAAGCTGGCAAGCTGATTTTAAAAACCTATGGAATTATAGGCTAGAGAGAGAGCTCAGTAAGTAATAATACAAGCAGGAGGATCCATGAAAAAGCTGAGCATGGGTAGGGTGTGCTTGTAATCCCAGTGCTGGGGAAGTGGAGACAGGAAGAGGTCGATGGTGTCTCAGAGGACCCAGAAGAGCCACAACAATACGAAAATGAAGTGCAGTTTAGGAAGGCAGGCTTCTCCTGATTTTTTTTTTTTTTTTGATTTTCGAGACAGGGTTTCTCAGTGTAGCTTTGCGCCTTTCCTGGAACTCACTTGGTAGCCCAGGCTGGCCTCAAACTCACAGAGATCCACCTGGCTCTGCCTCCCGAGTGCTGGGATTAAAGGCGTGCGCCACCACCGCCCGGCTCTTCTCCAGATTTTTAAAAGTAACTACGAAGCCACAGTAATCAAAGCGGCGTGATACCAGCACAAGAGCACACACAGATCAGCAAGGACAAAGTGGGAGGTGCAATGGCTGGACCTGGAGCATCCCTTCCTGTGTTGAAGACTTTGCTGTAGCCCATGGTGCTGTACGAGGTGGAAGGAAATTATGTTAATGGAGACATCCCCCATGCTTAAATCCATGTTAAAACCTTTGGGAGGGGGTGTAAAAAAGATGGCTCAGTGGTTAAGAGCAGGGAGACTTAGTTCTGTTCCTAGCCCCTATAACTCCAGCTCCAGGAGATCCAACTCCCTCTTCTGAATTCCAAGGGCACCTACACTCATGTACGCGCACACACACACACACACACACACACACACACACACTCTCACTCGAAAAATACATAAATAATTAAAACAAACAAAATCTTTCTCCTGGGCCAGGGAGATGGCTCAGTGGTAAAAACACTTGCCACCCACTCCTGACGACCTGAGTTCAGATCCCAGGACCTTGTGTGAAAGTCGGGTGTGTTGTCCTGTGTCTGTAAATCCAGCATGCCTGTGGAGATGAGAAACAGCTCCCCCAGGAAACTCCCAGGCCAGCTAGTCTGGAATGCACACAGTGCATCCAGATGTGCACAGCAAGAGAGATCCTGCTTCAAACAAGGTGGAGAGCAAGGACCCACACCTGAGGCCGCCCCCGACCTCCATGCACTGCTGTGACCCATCTGTGGCCCCCCACATGAATGCACACCGACACACACATGCAAAACAACAACAATTCCCAGACTCCAGCTCTGCTTCACCCTGGCTGGCCCCGAAACC